ATTGCTCTTGTGCCATCAGAAATGTCAATCCTTTACAGGAAAGGCAGGTATTTAAACAGTGATAGATTTTTGCAATGTACCCCATAATATTTAACAATGCCAAGAGATATGTTTACTGGAAAAGGTCTATTTAGATGCTTTACTCTTACTGTTTTCTTTGTGGAAAATCTTTTGGCTGAAACTCATATCTTGGCAGCAGTAAATGGTCTGGTAAATTAGAGATCCATTACACTGGTTTTAGTAAAGGAGAAAATTGAGCAGTGATTTTTTGTAAGTGGGAATAAAACTCTAAAGGATTTACAGAGATCTGCTTGAGGTTGCAGAAATTTAGTAAGTCAGAAAATTGTCTCATAGATGAACAAAGGATAATATATTTCTTATCCAAATCTAAGCTCATTTTAAAGTAATTCATGAGCATGTAATTTGCCCTTTCCCTTTCCTCTGTTTCTCTCCCCTCTTGCCTTGGTGCTGGCAGATCATGACATCCAGTGCATTACTTGGTTTTCTCTGCAGCTTTGAGCTGTGCCTGGCATTGGGAACACAACGAGGGGACAGCATCCACAACTGGTGCTGCAGTGGTGCAGAGATGTCCCACAGGAGCACCTTTGCCAGTGCCAATGTCAAAGCCAACTCCTTCCTCCCATTTCCCTGAGTGCCTCACAAGGCCCCAGTGTGCAGCTGTTGGTTCAGCTCCAGCCTTACAGTAACACAGCAAGAGGCTTCCTGCTTGTGGAATCTATGGAAAGGAACCAAGTCATTCACCTATGTCTTATGCCTTTCCTCAGTGTTGGATGTGGAATTTGCCTAGTTCTGGTGGTTAAAAAAATCCTTCTGCTGCTCACAGTGTCTCCTGGATTGCCCAGAAAGGAGGTGGGTCTTTTGTGGTGCCTATTACTGTGCAGCTCCAATCTCACAAAAGCAAGCTCTGGATCTCATTGCTCTACTGTCATTATAGTAAGACTTTAATGCCTTTTAGACTTTAAAAAGTCTAAGAGCAAAGAAATTTCCGCACTTTTTCAGAGGATTTAGAAATAACACATTCTGCCAAGCAGTCTCTTACCACTGCCATTGACATAATTAAGTAATCATGGTTGTAGGAATCCATGGAGTGCAGACAGCCCTGCCAGCATGAGCCCTGGCCTGGTGATGTGATGGGGTCCCTGGGTATGTCATGGGGTCCCTGAGTGTGTGATGGGGTCCCTGGGTATGTCATGGGCTCCCTGTGTGTATGATGGGTCCCTGGGTGTGTGATGGAGTCCCTGGGTGTGTGATGGGGGCCTTGGGTGGGTATGTGATGGGGTCCTTGGGCGTGTGATGTGTCCCTGGGTGTGTGATGGTGTCCCTGGGTGTTGGACCATCTCTCTGTGACAGGGAAAGGCTGCTAAGCTGTCCTAGAGCTTTGCTGAGGCAGCACTGGATAGGCTGAAGTGCAGGACATGGATTTGTGTGTATGACATTAACCTGCAGCTCAGTGGCATCATCCAGGGAGAGGAGGCATCGAGTTGTGCATAAAGCAATCAGGAACAAAGCGTGTGTCATTGTTAAACCACAGTCAGAACCTAAGCAAGCCTCATGCTGCCACTTGCACACTCTTCCTGGTGGGATGGGGAGAGAGAATCAGAAGAATAAAAGTGAGGGAATTTGTGGGTTGATTATAAAGACAGTTTAACAGCGAAAACAAAAGATATACACGCAAGCAAATAAAAAAATGGAATTCATTTACCACTTCTCATCGGCAGGCAAAGAGAGTTTAAGTGGCAAGTGATTTAAGTGGAATAATTACAAATTCACTGTGGTAAAAAAAGCGAAAAAAGATCAAAGACATTGAATGAGAGATCTAGACAGACTTCAAAGGAATGCTTGTGATGCATGCAAGAGTGCAGTCAATATTTGCACCTCTGATGCAAGAAAGCACAAAAGAGAAACTCTGGACAGCTGTTAGTCTGAGAGGAATAAAAAATCCCCTGTAGCTGTCCCTGCATTCAGAATGAGAGATAAATTTCACAGAAAGAGAGTGATAAATTCAGAAGATAGAAAATCATGGTAAATGGGCACCAGTTTATTCCAGACAGAATGCCACTTTTTGTAGGTAAATTTAATAAAACTGGTGGAATTTAAATAAAGACCCTGGAGAAAGCAAATGCCAAACTCCTACAGTAGACAGTGGAAAAGAAAGAGAGCCGAACAATTCAACAGGTGACTTAAGAAAACAGATTGCATCTGTTAAATATGTACTGTTGAAGTAATTAGTTACATCAGTGGAAGAGGAAAGCCAAAATATTTTTTAAAAAATTGATGTAAATGAATATTTATTGAAAACATAAACATGAACATTTGACCTGGATCAAGATGAGCCCGATACATTACAAAAGGAATGATGATGACTCAGTGCACTACTCAGATGCAGGGCTGCAACTCTACAGAAACAGTTACCACTGGATCCTAAGGAGTAATATATAGCACAAGAGCCCATAATGCTTAGTGAAATAAAATTGTGTGTGTGCAGGGCTGTACTTTATGATTAGGAAACACTGAAATTGCACTGCACATGTAGCGCCTAAATCAGAGGGGTTTGTTGATTCTCAACATGCTACTTCTCCTTACTTGTAACAATTACCCACGTAATTCAGGGTTAGCGTATAACTGAAGCAAAGCACCCAGACATTCCTTCCTGCCAGCAGCAACAGCCAACAGTAATGCTGAATACTTTTAAATGAATTTATCCACCCTGGGCCCATTGGGACCACCCTGGGTCCAAAACACACTCTGAAGGGAAATCTGTAGACCTGGTGAGAAGCTTGTCACGTTACTGAGTTTTTCTGCTATAATCTAGGACTGAGACAAAGCTCATTTCTCCAGAGCAGCCCTCACAGTGCTGTGCTGTACACTGGTAGCTGCAAAGGTGCTGGTAACACACCAGTGTTTTGGCTGCAGCTGAGCAGAGCTGGCACAGCATCAGCACAGTCTCCCCAGCTTCCTGGCCAGGGGTGGGCACGATCCCAGGATGGGACGCAACCAGGACAGCTAACCCAAGTAGTCCAAAGGGATATTCCATACCATATGGTGTCAGCTCACATATAAAAGCTAAGGGAAGGAAGAGGAAGGGGAGGAATTGGTTATTCACAGTATATGCCGAATTGGTTATTCACAGTATTTGTCTTTTGGAGCAACCCCTATGCGTGCTGAAGCGCTGCTTCCTGGGAAGTGGCTGAATGTCATTGCCAATGTGAAGTAGAGAATTAACCCTTCTTTTTCTCTCTCTTTGCTTGTGTGTCTGTAAACTTTTCCTTTTGCTTTAGTAAATTGCTTTATCTCAACCTATGAGTTGTCTTCTCTCCTCTGTCCAGCTAAAAGGAGAGAGATAGAACAGCTTGGTGGGCACTTGGAATCCAGCCAAAGTCAATTCAAGAAACTCCATAAAAGAAAGGGAAATTGAGCATTTTTGATTTTTCCCCACATTTAAAGAAATCTATGCCATGAACAATATTCTCAATTTTAATACTGTAAGCCACTAGTAAATGCAGAAATATATCAGCAATAAAAATCCCATGTTAAACCCCACAAATTTTGGGGGGAATAGAGCTTTGCTGAGACAAGAGCTCATGGTGGTTGCAACTCTTTTGCCATCTCTGAGTTCTCACTGCCATTCAATGACTACAGTAAACTTTTGAAATGGGTTGTCAGTCTTAAAATATACAGCATTAGCAAAGGGTTTGTAGTACATTCATGAGACTTCTAAAATTGCCAAATAATTTAGGAGTTTCATATAGCATTTTGTAAATCACTTAGAAAGATCTCTTACTTTGTAAAACATTACAAAATGTGCAGTTTAGAGAGGCCACCTGGACAATGTTCCCAAGACGGGATCAGAAATGGCAGCAATGTTTCCACAGTATACAGGACACCCCTTGTGATTTCATAGCACACAAGGCAGAACAGGAATGTTCTCTTGTTCCAGGGAGAGCAAAATGAGTGAGTCAGAGACATGGTAAATAACTCACTATATTGTAAGGGACCTTTGTCCTTTAGCAATTTTACCAAGAACAGCCTGTGCTTCAAGCTGAAAGAAGTTAAGGAGTTGCAGGACAAAGCAAGCCTAATCCAGTGGTTACTAATGCAGACTAACCTCCTACAGCACTGTGCTTTAGCAGCCCAACTTCTGCACTTCAAGATATTCCAAGTCTCAAAAATTTTGAAATTGGAACTTATTATCTAGTTGAAGACCAGCTTTGTAGCTAGTGTGAACTGATTCTCAATTCCTTATGAAAAGATTACCAGAACAGTTTAGGAAGTGTGTAAAAAACAATATAAATAATATTGAAAAGGAACCATTTGCTTCAATCCTAGACTGAACTGGTGGTGGTGGGGATGACACCATTTTGAATAAAGAAAAACATCCTCAAACAATCTAATGGTTGTAGAATATAATACACTACAAGAGTTCAGCTGGAAGGGGTGTAACAAGGATCACCCAGCACAGCTATGATGTCAAGTCAGGAACCAGACAATCTAGGACTTTTTCACTGTACTAGAGCATTCAGCAAGGCACACTGACAGAATAAGCAGAAGGTATTTAAGCAAATAATTTTCCTTGAAATGAATTATGGTATCTGTCTACTATAGTGACAACCCATGCCCTAGAAATAGTTAACAAAATCAGGAAAAGGGAATAAATTTCTAGTTTTGTAATTCTGTTTCTTGCAAAGTAAAATTCTGCTACTTTCACTAGCAACCTGCTCTGCAGAACATTGTTTCCTTCAATGTGTTATTAAGGGTATATGCATTACCCAGCTGCAGGCTGGAACAGGATCAGTGCAGACAGCACTCACTAAATAGAGCTTTCCCTTTTACTAACTAGCAAATACATCTGTGATTAAGATTGCGTTCCACTTGAGCTGAATCATAACAAAAAAAAAAATTAAAAATGAGATGGGCCTGTCCACTGGAACTGTATTCTTATGAGAATTTTTGTTTCTAGAAACAAATGAAAGAAAACACCCTTTATGCAGAAACAATTTTAATAAGATCAAAGCATACAAAAAACTATCTGAAGAATTGTTATAGGAACAGAAAACTAAAGAGCAATTTTGACCTCACTGGACAATGCATATGACAATGTACATATATAATTGTTCATCCTGTATGCTTATTCTGTCCATTCTACTGCTGTCCCCAATGCAGGCATTGCATGTTTCAGAGAAGCCTGCAGCTAAGAAAGGGTTAAATTATCTTTTACTGACTTGATTCACACATTTAAGAAAACTTCACCCAATTTGTTTTTTTTTTTTAATTTTACTTGCCAGTCATGTTTTACAGACAACATTCTACCACTTAGCTTAGTTTGATGTAACATTTTTAAGAATGCTATTCACATGATTTTCATTAGATGTTTAAAATACCACAACTGGAAAAAAGTTAATTTGTCCAAAAGTACAGTCAAAGAGGTTAAAAAGATATTTGGGAACCATCAACTGAAAGCCTTTACTGTATCATAGTCACTTCAAGTGTTGTAAAGTAGTTTTCTACCAACTTCAGCTTTTCTTCAGAAAGCAGGTTTTCTTGCTTCAATTGTCTAATAAGAGCTTCCAAGGACCTGAGTCTCCCCAAAGTTTTTATCTCTTGCATTTCAAGTAAAGTTACCTTAGAGTGCAGTTTTGAAATTTTTTGCCAAAGGTGATCTCTGTCTATGTCTTGTCTGCAGTATGAATGCTCAGTCTGTAGTACTTCATTTCCATCATATTCAATCACTTCTGTCTCCTCTATGTCAAGAAACTCTTCCTTAACAGGCAGACAAGAAGTATTTACTCCTTCAGGCTCTTCAGGACTCTCAGCTGGCATAATAATAGCAATGACAGACTCTTCAGTTCCACTGAACTGTTCAATAGCTTGTGTGACTGTACTCAGTAAAACTGCATCTTCACTTGTCTGCTCTTCAGAACAGACCACGTGAGGGACAGAATTCTCAACTGCATAGTCAGTAACAGACCCTAAAGCACTGTTCAGTTTCAGAGATGAATTCAAGCAGTAAGGGTCTGTAAATTGCAGGACTGTAGCTGTACAACCTCCTGAATGCTCTACAGAAGTATGAGCACCAGTAGCCTCCATGCTCTGGGCTGCTGCTGTCATTACAATAGGATTAGGCTGATGAATGTACTGCCTAGATGAACTGTCAAGGATGACATGGTCTGCCTGAAAGCCACCTTCATGTGGAAGCTGCAGGTTCTGAATTTGTAAAGGTTCACTCAGTGCAGTTGAGCAAACCACTTCTGCTTTTTCCTCTACATTTTGTGCAATTACAGAATTTTTCTTTGGTGTACAAGGTTCAAGTGGTACAGATACTTTCTCTGACACAACATTTGTTTCTTCCTGGTCTTTTTTCTGTACCTGCTGTGAACTGTTCTGAGAAGAATCTTTTTCCTGGAGGAGAAAAAAAAACAAACAAAAAAGAAAATCACCACCTTGTAAGAAGAAAATCACTGAGTATTAAAAAATTAGGCAGATCTCATTTCATAGCACGGTATTGCAAAAGGACTAACTTAGATGAGCACTGCTTAAAAATTACATCAGAGGCCCAAGAATTCATGTAAGCATCTTTCACAACTTTGCTTCAGGCTCTACATTTAAAAATACTATTTTAAAGCTGTAAAAGCAATAGTAGTGTTTGGGTTTCTAGTTTTGGTTTTTGTTTTTTTTTTTTTTTTTTTTCCTTACTGTGGTTTGGAGTTTTTTAATTTGATTTATTGTGGGGTTTTTTCAAACTCTAGGGAATTTGGACACAAGATACAGTAATTATTCTCATAAGAAATTTAACATTTTCTATAGTAAATGCTTCTGCAATCTCCAGTTAAAAAAGATATTGAACCTCCAATCAAACTAGGGGAAGTTGTTCTTCCTTTACATTATGGAATCACATGCTTTGTGTCAGCCCTGCTGACAAACTGTATTGATGGACAGGAATTCTATTTTTTAAATAAAATATAATTATCTGACAGATTAGACAATCTGTATAACATCAATAGTTGGTTAGCTTCATACTACAAAACAAAAACAGGATAGAAATAGATTACCTCATCATCTGGGGAAGAGAAAATGGTTGGCACAGCGGTGTTTTTCAAGTAGCGTATCCCCCACCGCACGTCCAGGGAATCGGGGGTGAAATGATCACTGCAGAGCAGCTGGTGCTTACTTGGAGTCCAGGAATCCCGCTTCATGTTCCGCAACCACTTCTCAAGTCTCTCTTTGTCATGAAGTGGGAATCTGGTGGGGTGCACGAGACACAGAGTACTTTGGACCTTATTAGCACAAGAGAATTGATAGACAAAATGCCTTGGTAATGCAAATGGAACTTTGAAAATTAGATCTAGATAGAAGAAATTAGATCTAGAAAGAAATTAGATCCAGAAAGAAGATTTAATCAGACAGGTTTACCGGAAAAAGAAAATCCTATTAAACTCTGCAAGCAAGAGATGTTGTTATATGCATAAGTTTGTGTATGTGATTTTAACCTAATCATTGTAGTACACATTACTAGTCTCCCTAAAATAGTATATAAGTGCTTGTATCCCACAATAAAATAGAATTCTGATCACCAAGTCAGTCTCCCCGTCTCTCTCCATCGCCAAAAAGAATCTTTTTAAAGCAGTCGAAAAGACAAACAAGAAAATATACAAAACCCCCTGTTATTGTTGTCTTTGTTTTAAATAAGAATATTAGAAGGTAGCCTTCCTTTAGAAAAGATTACAATAAAATTTTTAAAAAAAATTTAAGTATTAAATGCTTATCTGGATGTCATGTACATGTTAATCCAATCATTATATACATTATTTCTAGTTGGGTATTTGCTCTGGAATTCAGAAGCACAATTTCTGATTTCTAGTAGCCAAGGGTTTCAGAATCCATGGCCAAGATGTTTTGAAAGGTTTGATCATACAACACTTGCTCAGAAAGCAGTTCTGCTGAAGGGAGATGAAATACTGAGACATAATTTAAACAAAGTTAAGACTGGTCTTCATTTTATTAATAGTATTTCTTGGGCTTATTTGTCTTTCTAGATACAACTAGTATTTTCTGTTTAACAGAGTACCTCCTAATACATGCCCCTCTTTGGATTATCAGATAATTTGGCGATGCAAATATTTCCAATACAGGTTTTAAATTTTGTTCAAAAAGTAAATGCATGCAAATACAAAGCATTCCTATATTTTGTGTTTCAGCAATTAAACTTTCTCACAGTGTTAGGAGCCCACATCACATTTTATAGTTTAGAATTAACTTTTCCATCATCTAACCTACCTGAAAAGGCAAATTATGAGTATACAGCCTCATAGAAAAAAAAAACTGACTTTAAAAATACATGCAAAATGGTCAGACATCAGAAAGAGAACTAAATTAAAAAGAAAGTGTATGACATGTGACAACATGTAATTTACTTAATGACAGGCAATACACAAATGAAAAGGAAATTAAAGGCTTATTATGATGCATGCACAGTCAAGAAGTGATGGTAACAGGAACATGAACATTCAGATCACTCTTGTCTCTCTCCTCTTCTCAGTCAGGTATCAGGGTATTTGAAATGTAGTTGAAATGTTTCTCTGGTGCGTATCAATTTTACTTTAACTCTAGCAGATAACCACATATGATACATATGTGTCATTCAAACCATAAGTTGAATTCTGAGCACTGTTAAGTGACTACTGTTCAGAAATCAATATTCCTGAGCATCATGAGTAACAATAGTTACAAAGTAAAAATTTCTGCTTCTGTAATCGCACCCTCAAATCCCTGAAGCTGCAGGTTTCCTCCAAAAGCCACACATAGCAGCAGATTCTTACACAGGCCCTGTGTTCCAAAACTGCAAACTCAGGTGATTTTGAGAGGAAGAGTGCTGAAATTCACAGCATACAGGTGCATGCCTTTACCCCTGCCCCAATCTTTTGAATTTGTTACCATGTAAGTCTTCAAATTACCAAGGAAACAGAGCAGGCGTTTGATGCACCCAGCTCTGTGTATCTGCAGGAATGCAAGGAATAATGCAAGGAATAAGAACACAGTAACCTCTGAAGAACAAGTTAGAGGTTCAGGCTTTTCAAATCCTGTCTGCTTAGATCATGTACACCCAGTGGCAGCATTGCATGTATGACAGAGCATGCTCCTCGGTAACACAGCTTAGCCTGGCTGTCACTACAGAGGTCAAAAAAAGTCTCCCAAGAAGACGATGGTTTCCTTTCATTGAAGGCCATGTCATGACTCACACCCTCTCCAAGAAGGCCTTGGGAACACTTGCTCCCACTGCAGTTACCCTCACAACACAGGACCCACTGCTCTACCCAGACTCAACCAGCTTCAGATGGAAAATAAAATAATCTGTAGCAAGAGAAGGGTCTGATAGTGAAAGTTATTATTTTAGCTTAAAGGCAACTTTGCTAAAACCTGTTCATGCTTCAACTCCTCACTAATCAACAGAATCTGTTCTCTAGTGTAAACAAGACACAAAAGAAGGGGAAATGGAAAGAGGAAGTGGACAGAATTTATTTAGCAGCTGCCATCATTACCCAAGTCAAAGACGTGAAGAAATAAAACAAAGAAGAGCAGTTAGGCCAGTTGAGATTAGGTGACAAAGGGTTTGGAAGGGGCTCAGACCCCAACCACAGAGCAGCAGAGGACTTCGGTGGTGGTAAGAGGCAAGGGAATAAAACTTGCAATTCATGTCAGCGTAGTCACTAATATAAGGCAAGAGAATCTATAAATCAAATCTCAAACCCCTTCTACAGGAGCATGAAACTCAGAATGGAGCACAACTCAAAGGCTAGATACACCAGCTAAGTTTTGGCAATCATCTCCATACTGATGCCATACATTTGAATATGTATGTATACATGTCTCAGTGCTCAAATTTGTTTTGATTATCCATGTGACATGCATGCTCTCTAAAGCATAAGGGAAAAGAAATTATTTTCCTTATTGTTTTATGATGCATTCCATGTTAGAAATGTGCCAGGGAAATAAGCTTTCCTTCAATCTGAAATAAAATTTCTTTCAAAGCAGTCTTTCTGTAGGTCTTCCTACACCACCTTCCTGATACTGGAATAACTGTGACTAATCAGAAACTGAAAGGAAACCTAGTTTGAGGTAGAAATTTTACCAAAACAGATTTTGAGGCTAATTGTGAAATTTATTTTTCAAATTTTTCTTAAGTTGCTTCTGCTGACAAACGGTTCCATACTTTTATTCTACACAAATACATTCATATTTAGTTACCTGCACTATGTTTCTCTCAGGATTGTGAAATACTTTTTATAACTCACCATCCTGGGAAGCAACAGCCACATAACCACAACAGGGCAGAGGTTACTGCAGGCCTGGGATGGTGACTGGTTCATGCAGAGTCTGCACAGCACAATGCAGCCACCATAAACTGGTTTTGGCAACTGAAGTAGCTAAGATCCAGCTAACTCAGCTGCTTCCTAACAACAAGCAATGCCTCTGTTCACAGCACAGGTAAGGTAATAATTCTAGTGGCAAAGTTTAATTTTAAGGAATCATTTTATCTTTACTAGCTTAACTCTTCCTGGCCCTTCTCCTGGCATGTAAACCGTAATACACGAGGCATTTCACCATTAAACCAAAGCCTCCCCTGCTGGAACATCGCTTCCACAGAGGCAGCAGCGAAACAGAGTCAGAAGCGCAAATTTTATTTTTTAGTCGAAGCTCCTTGCTCTTCCCTTCACGGACCCTCTGCACCTATTCCAGAGTCCTTAGACGCTGCCGTGTCATCGCCCCCTAACCCAAGTTCCGTCTGTCCGTCTGTCCTGTGCGAAGGACGGTGTGTGCAATTACACCTCAGCTGTCCGCTCTTTATTCCCTATACCTTCCCTTCCCCCAGGGGTCAGCGACCTTTCCCTCCAGCCCCCCGGGAGCAGGCGGGGTTCCAAGGCGACCACCAGCGTGGTCCACCCGTGCCGCTGAGTCTTTCGGCCATTTACTTCCGCAGTGGAGCTCCCCACTGCTGCCACGGCCAGCGCTCACCCAGGCCCTGCCCCGCTCCGCGGCCACTCACGGGTAGAAGCTGAGCTTGCGCTTGTCCTTGGCGCTCTGGCCGCCGCGGTTCTTGCAGCGGGTGGCTGCGCAGTACCGCGGCATGGCGGCCAACCCGGGCCGGGCTGAGCTGAGCTGGGCTGAGCTGGGCCGGGCCGGGCCGGGATGGGCTGGGCCGGGCTGGGCTGGGCTGACCTGGGCCGGGCCGGGCCGGGCCGGCGGCGGCGGCGCCGCCTCCCCACAGCGCCCCCAGCGGCGGGTGGTGGTGGCGGCGCCGAGGTTGCGACCTGTCGCGTGCACCGCGTCACGTGCGCCCCGGCGACCAATGGCGCAGCGCTTCGTGTAGGAACGGCGGGGGGCCGGACTGCGCGAGCGCCGGGCGCGGGCGGGCGGGAACGGCGGCGGCGACGCTGCGGGGCGGCGGGGAAGCGGGGCCGGTGTTGAGGTGAGCACGGCGGGGAAGGGCCGCGGCCGCCGGGTGAGGGCTCCGAGAAAGTGGAAGGTTGCTGAAGTGGGTGGAGTGATAGGCGAACGCGGACGAGGCGGGAGGGGGGCGCTGGGGGCAGCGTGGGAAACCGGGGGGGGGAGCGCAGAGAGGGGCCGCTGAGGCTCGGTGCGGAGCTTTTATTTGGAATTTGGGCCTCCCTGGGCCGCGTTGCGGTGGTGTTTCCCAGCCTGGCTGCACTGGAGTGGGAGAGCGTCGCTGAATGTGGCTGTTAGCGGCTGCCCAGCTCTGGCCTGGCCCCACCCGGTGGTGCGGTCCGGCTCCAGCGAGGTCTTAGGGGTCTGTATAGGCAGGGTGGTGTCAGGTTGATTCCTTCGTTTCCCTGTGCTCCAGGGCAAGATTCAGGAACCTTCTTCTATATTTGCTTTCGAGTCAGTATAAGAGAGGCCAAGACAAGTACAAGCCCCTCCGCTTGACAGACTTGCCTGTAGCTGCTTGAGGACTGGAAGACTTGCTTACTCATCACATTAGTCGGTGGTAGGAGAACCGAGGGAATACCTCGGTAACTTTATTACTATTAGAAAATTGCTTGCAGAAATAATTACAGGACGTGAGCATTCCACAGGTTAGTGTATAGCAATTCTGTAATGAAAGCAGTAGCAGAACCCTAGTGATGCTCCGTGTTTTCTGAGTACGTGAGACTTTGAATATAAGCATTTATCTAAGATTTTGGTTAACTACTTTCAAAGAAGGATGGAATAAGGTATTTGTGTTGCAAGATGAAGTAGCTTCTTATTTTCTAAATCTGACAGGTTTTATTCTTGGTGCATCATCCTCAAACATCCCTTCATTGTGCAGCTGTTGTTAAACAAATGAAGAACTGATTGTTATTACTTCTGCAGTACTTTGGATAAACATTAGACAGTGCACTTCTTGTACAAAGGTGAATAGTAGTTGAGATCTGTACCTACTCACCCCACAGAATTAAATAGTTGTTATGTGACCTAAGGTCTCTTACTTCATTGATAGATGTACCTAAATTAAGTACACAGATAATTATTAGAAGAGCTCATTATTGCATGAGCTTAATGTGTACAGAATTTATTGAATTCGGGAAGGTGGTTTAAGTAGCTGCAGTGTATGACCTGGAAAGTGCAACTTACGTGTCCCTTTTTGATTGAGAAACACAGGGTGAAGACACATAAGCAAAAAAAAAGTATTTAAGAGACTTTATTTTGAAAGGGATTGTAAAAATAGTTTGGAATGGCAAGGCTGAAGTCGTTGGCAGTCGCAACACTAAGATACTGACAGCATATAAAATAGGTGTTTTCTAAAAAGTAAATTGAATAATTGACAGTATCTAAATATAAGACTTGCTCTCTCTGATAACTGTGAAGTTTAAAATGCTGCTTATACTGGAGTTTTATTTGTGTTTTGTTTTTATTTACATCTTATTCTTAAATTTGAGTTTGATTGATTTGTTCAAGGGCAGCATTAAATCTGTGTTTGCTAGTTTAAAAGATTGTGAAACTTAAGTCCCTTTTTTTACTATGCTTTAGAAATCAAATATAGCAAAGAACTTCATTGCAGAACTCCTAATGTAAAGAACTGTAGGAAAAAAAAATCAGGTGTGTTTTGTTATCAGAAATAATACAAGTTGAGATGGTGAGCCAGAGCAGAAAACCTGAAGGACTAACTTGATGATCTCCGGCTCTCATGGGTTATGAAAGAGGGGTTTGCTCTTAGTGGAGGACATGAGCTGTTCCTTTTAGCTCTTTTCAATGTTCAGTAGCAGAAGTAGGATGGTTGACCTTAAGAGAGTGCAGCAGGTGATTATGCAAGCATGATGCAGGTGTGGGCTAATGAAGCAAATTAAAACAATCACATATGTGAGATGAACACGTAAGTCTGCATCTATAAAGCACTAACAGAAAGAAAGCCCTTAAAGCATGGAAGGATATATATGTGTGTGGTTCTTAGTGCCCAAGTCGTAAAATTTCAGGTTAGTGAAGTGGTGAGAGAAGGTATGTGGGAAAACTTGGTACTAAAAATATGTCTGATATTGTGCATGGAGAATACTGGAACGAACTATCCATTTGGTATTTAAGTACACTGATCAAAATACAATTTGTTTCAACTGCTGCCCCTTAACACTTGATATCATTCAGGCTGCTGGCCAAATAAATGCTTAAGAGGGCATGGGTAGATTAATCTTGCAGGCCTTTTGCTCTTGTCTCACAGCATTCATTTTAGCCCCCTGACTTGCCTATTGGAAATGGTATTCTTTTTTCCATTTTTGGTTCTTGCTTTTTTAAATTTTGTTTAGAGGGAATTGACTTTCACATAAATGTTTAATTTTCATGTGTATTAGGTATTCAAAGGTTTTGAATTCTGCCTGACAAATTTTGGGTCCCATGCTGGCTAGCAAAAGTGTTCTGACTTTAATGGTGCTCAGACTGTAATTTTGTTTATTCAACTTTCAGAAAAGTAACACCAATTGTGTCATGAGTTGTTCTTACAGTACATTTAAATCAGTGTAATCTGGTGGGGGGGACATGTTACATGTGGAATGTTTAGGGTCTTGTACATCCTTCTGATCAGGTGTCAGCCAGCATTCTGTCTTTGAATGCACTCTGTGTTTGCCTTTCTGCACTCTGTGTTTTAAATATAATATGCACAGGCATATTATCTGTCCTCATCTTCTAGTAGGAACAGCTCACTCTGTCCTTCATGAAAATCATAAGACATCATGTGGCTATGTGGAACTGTTTCGTTAAGTCATTATATATGCCACAGTTTTCCCCTAAGTTCTGATATATTTGTTTCAAAATATATTTTTTTGACAGATGAGTTGTTGAAAAAAAAATTACAGCTTTTTTTAAGAGCTTTAATTATTGTTGGAGATACTTGTCTTGTATAAAAGACGTATTTTTGCCTTCAGTTCTAACACTGAGGGTTTCATATGTAAACCTTTCTATGCAGTGGTATTTATCAGATTAATTCTTTGTATCAAAGATATAGTAGGTGTTTTCCTTTATAAAGCAATCTGATATGCAGATGAGCTAAGCCAGCCTGTTGTTAAATAGAGGAAAGTGTGCTTTACTTGGCTGAACTCTGGAAGTGAATGATCTGCTTTTTATTATGTTCACCTTAGGTGGGTTAAACAAACTGAAGCTGAGCATGAGTGTCTGATAGTCTTGTCTTCCTGCACCTCACAGTCATCTCTAGGCCAGTTGTATTTTCATGCTCCTGTTGTTGTACCAGCTAATCAGTCACTTGGTCTTCCAGCAGGGTCACTACTGGTCGGAGCTACTCTGTTTGGGGTCCTAGAACTCAAGATTAATGTAAAGCTAGTTCAGGTATGGCAGTGTGAATGTTAGATGCAATGAAATGTGCTGTGTATTTACTTTTGCAACTTCATATGACACTGATCAGTGAAATGTAAAACAAACACTAAAGTGGTTGTTATGTATATGAAATGTCGCTTTGCAGTGTTTTCACTTACGTGTTTTGTGAATATGAAAACGGCGTAAGGGAGTTTGACAGGTGTAAAGCAGCGTGCTTACAAGTCTGGCACTGACTCTTGTAACATGCTGGTCTTCCTCTGCCAGCCTACAGCTGTAACTAACTTGTTGTGGAATGTAAAACAACTTGTTCTTCAAGTATATTTCCTTTTCTTTTTAGGAACTGGAGAAATGGCCACTACACAATCTGTCTTCACATTTGCTCTCTGCATTTTAATGATAACGGAATTAATTCTGGCTACAGAGAGCTATTATGATATCTTAGGAGTTCCAAAAAATGCATCTGACCGCCAGATTAAGAAGGCATTTCACAAGCTGGCTATGAAATACCACCCTGACAAAAATAAGAGTCCTGGAGCAGAAGCAAAATTTAGAGAAATTGCTGAAGGTAATATATACTATCTATGGTCATAATTTGATACGTGTCTTATATCTAGAATGTAAGTGCATTTTGTTTTTACTGAATAAGAGGTATAAAGGGTTTTTTTTTTTTTTGAATTCCACTTAAGTGCTGTCAGATATAAAGCATCAAAATCTGAGTTGTTTCTTTGTTTCTGTGTTCTTGCACATAGGAAGGCCTTTTACACAGTTTATGCATTTCTGCTTATTGGCTTTTGGCATATTCTTCTTCTCACAAAAAATACTTGGTTGTAGGACAGCTTTAGCCCTAGGATCTGTTTCATAAGATCTGGCTCAGGATTACTACCAGGGCTTCAGGAGGGCCTTACAGCAACCTTGCAGTAACTGTGGGGAGATAATTAGAAAACACACAGCAGAGTGCTTCAGTGGGTCATGGTGGAAATACAATAGACAACAGGTGAAAGAGGTTCAAGTGGTTATAGGGAGAAACTTTTTCACCTTGAGGATGATGGTTGGATTTGAGGATCTCAGAATTCTTTTCCAGTCTTAACAATTCTGTGATTATGTTCTACAGGCCAGTGTTAGAACAAATTACCTAGAGAGGTTGTGCAGTCTCCAGCCTTGGCACTTTTGAGGAATGATTGGGTAAAGCGCTGACTAGCCTAGTCCGATCTCATAACTGACCCTACTTTGAGCAGGAGGTTAGAGTAGACACTGAGGTCATGTCTAACTTGAACTATCTGTGATCCTACAAATATAACACTTATAAGTATTGGGTGATAAAA